GTGTTAAAGTCTGTGTATTAGTTCCACCATTAGCTCCACCCTCTTGGGTCACTGGTCCCAAAAAACAAGAAGTCAGAGCAGTTCAATCGTCTGGTAGCCCGAGGGCCGTTTGAAGACTCTCCAATCTCCATTCGTCTTCAAACTTCCCGATCTTCACTATCTATGCACCTCTTCTTAACTTAACTGCACCGTGCATGATGGCATTGCCTAAGGACCCGTTTGTTCTGGTTATCTGTCCGAACCACTGTTACTTTTACATTTTTAGTGATTTCCTTCATCAGTTTAAGAAACCTCGAATCGTGAAGTTAAGACCCAAGAAACCTTAGGCGCATTCACTCTGCAGTACTTTTCCCACAAAGGTTCATGAGAACTTGGTTCATGAGAACTCTTTAGTTCTGATGAACTAAGTACAGATCGCGTTCACACCACAATGAGTTCCTGGGGGAAGTATTAGGCAAATGAAGCCGCTGACGTCACTTCTTCTTCTTTTGCTTTGGGTTTACTGGCAGGCCGCAAACAACCGGAAGTCCCCGGAGTTGGGGACTGGCTTCAGTAGAAGCTGCTGGGACTCCCAGCAGCTTCTACTGACGCCTTCCGAGTAAATTGCCAGAACGCCGACACCTCCTCATCTCCACCGCTCCCATGTTTTCTTTTGTGTTGCCATAAGTTAGTCTCTCTGCGTTTCTGCGCTGGGCTAATGCTAATGCTAATAATGCAATGCGAGGAAAATAAAATGGCGGCTTCACAAAACTTTTTGGGAGTTTTACGGGGCGTGGTTTGCATTCCGCCCAGCCAATCAGACATAGGAACCTTTTTCTCCCACGAAAGTACCTGCTCTCTAGCAGGGACAGAAAAAGGGGTAAAAAGGTTTCTGATGAACACATTTTTGTTCCGGCTCTTTTTGGTGTGAACGCGACATTTTGGAACTATATCGATACTAAAGTGGGAAAAGTACAGCGGTGTGAACTCGCCTCTTGAGTCAAGTCCACTTTCACAGAGTCGTTAGTACAGTCTATTTTCAATGTCACCCTGAGGATCTTCCTGTAGCAAAGGCTTTCTAAAGGCGGTCCACAAACCAATGAGTGACACCACAGTGACTCCATCAATCAGAACACTTCCGATACCAGAACCTTTAGGAAGGGATTAGCCAACATCAGTCTCCATTGAAGAATATTTTCTCCAGCTTGTCCTTCTTTTTGAAATCTCATGTCTTGTTTTCCTTCCCTTCTAGTTTCATGCCGTGTCTCCTTGGACACCGACACTGCCCACCCTACCCTGGTTCTCCTGGAGGATCCCCAGGGTGCCCACTGTGGAGAGGAGCCCCAGTCCTACCCTCCTCACCAGCAGCGTTTCGACTCTGTAGCCCAGGTGCTCGCGAGGGAGGGCCAGTTTGGAGCCAGCTACTGGGAGGTGGAGTGGAGGGGCGGAGGGTGGGTCGATATCGGAGTCACTTACAAAGGAATCGGACGAAAAGGCGGCGGGAAACCTTGCCTTTTGGGGCGAAACGAGAACTCGTGGCGTTTGAGGTGCACCCACGCCGGATACGCCGCTTGGCACGACAACCGGAAAACCACGGTTGCTGCCCCCCCTTGCCCGAGGATTGGTGTTTACTTGGATAGGCAGAAAGGAGCGTTGTCTTTCTACAGCGTGTCGGACACCATGGTGCTTCTGCACACGTTTCGATGCCCGTTCTCTCAGCCGCTTTACCCCGCGTTTCGCCTGGACCTGGACTCCACCCTGATCATCTGCCCCCATGAGGGAGGAGGATGTGGGAACCAAACCTAATATTGCCCAACCATTCCACCCCAAGGACCAGAGATGGCAAAAGTACACACATCCTTTACTCAAGTAGAAGTACAGATACTCGTGTTTAAAAATACTCTGGTAAAAGTAGAAGAACTGACTAAACTTCTTTACTCAAGTCAAAGTAAAGAGGCTTTGAAATGTACTTCAGTAAAAAGTACCCATAACTAGCAGCTGTTTTAAAGAGTACCTGACCTCCCTTTATATTAATAGAACAATAATGTCATTGTTAGCTAATGAATGTTTCCATGCTGAACAACGGCAACATGACAACGTTTTCATTGGTCCCTCTTCTTTAGAGAAGAGCAGGAAATGATGGATACACGGATCGTGTTCAAATCAATAGGCACGCAATGACTCTAAATAATAATGATCACGCCACCAAACACACATTCAAACTAAAGGAACCAGCCTGTTTGGAAAATGAGAGAAGTAGAAAGTACAGGTATTTGTGTTCAACATGTAAGAAGTAGAAAGTACAGGTATTTGTGTTCAACATCTAAGAAGTAGAAAGTACAGGTATTTATGTTCAACATGTAAGAAGTAGAAAGTACAGGTATTTGTGTTCAACATCTAAGAAGTAGAAAGTACAGGTATTTATGTTCAACATGTAAGAAGTCAAAGTAAAAAGTCGTCAGAAAAATAGGTGGAGTAAAGTACTGATACCAGAACAATGTACTTAAGTATTTGTACTCCACTACTTCCCACCTCTGCCAAGGACCCTAGCCCCTCCTGTCGTGTTCGTCTCACTTTGTTGTTTGAGCTGTCTGAGCTGTGTGTTGATGTGGGTGTGTACTCTCTAATCTAGATTCACCCATTCATTTCCTTTGCCATTTTTGACCGGGAGCATCATAGATGTTTTTAAAGTCGACTAAGACACTCAAAATTCTATGAAAGT